AGAGAGTTAGAAACATCGATGAGAGAGAATCATCGATCAGCTGCCTCTTGCATACCCCCTACTGGGGATATGCCCGCAACCAAGGTACATGCCCTTGACCGGAATTGAACCCGGGACCCGTCAGTCCCCAAGCCGACTCTCTATCCATTGAGCCAAACCGGTTCCGGCCTGTTCCTGATTTCTTTCTTTCTTTCTTTCTTTCTTTCTTTCTTTCTTTCTTTCTTTCTTTCTTTCTTTCTTTCTTTCTTTTTTTTTTTTAAATATATTTTATTGATTTTTTACAGAGAGGAAGGGAGAGAGACAAAGAGCTGGAAACATCGATGAGAGAGAAACATCGACCAGTTGCCTCTTGCACACCCCCTACCGGGGATGTGCCCGCAACTAAGGTACATGCCCTTGACCGGAATCGAACCCGGGACCTTTCAGTCCGCAGACCGACGCTCTACCACTGAGCCAAACCGGTTTCGGCCTGTTCCTGATTTCTTAAAACGAATGTTCCCCAGTTTTATTAAGATACCGTTAATCTATCACATTGTATGTTCCTAAAATATTTTGGAGGAGGTTTTGCTGCTCAACTGCTGCTCAGAAGAACTAAAGACGAGTTCTAGGGAAGGGCCAGACATGCGAACAATCAACTTTGATTCAGGAGCGGGATTGCCAGAGGAAACACGGGGTGCTCAGTGAAATCTGAATTTCAGATAACAGATAATGCTTCAGTGTGGGTAAGCGCCTCTAAGATTCAAATTGCATTGGATGTCCTGTGTTTGTTTTTTTCCAGTTACATCTAGCAACCCTACTCTGGAGTGCAGAGAAGGCTTCCTGGAGGAGGCAGGACTGAGCCAGTGCCTTGAAGGGCGGGAGGAGAGGACTGAAATAAGCAAAGAAACCCAGAGAAAAGAAAGCTGGCCAGATGGGAGTAAAACCTGGAAAGCTGGCCCAGGGCCAGAGGACTCAGTGCCCTGGAGGTCAGGCTAAAGGGTCAGACTCAAACATAAGCAGTCAGGAGCCACAGAAGCCTTAGAGCAGGGAGCCCGTGGGGCTGAGTGTTGGGAAGCTCCTGGGTAGGAGAGCAATGAAAGGAGAGAAGGAGCCCTAACCAGTTTGGCTCAGTGGATAGAGCATTGTCCTGCAGACTGAAGGGTCCTGAGTTCGATTCTGGTCAAGAGCATGTACCTTGGTTGCAGGCACATCCCCAGTAGGAGGTGTGCAGGAGGCTGCTGATCGATGTTTCTCTCTCATCGATGTTTCTAACTCTCTATCCTTCTCCCTTCCTCTCTGTGAAAAATCAATAAAATATATTAAAAAAAAAAAAAAAAAAAAGGAGAGAAGGAGGTGAAATCTCAGTCAGGAGCACCTGCATTGGTTCAAGTGGAAGGAGACTGAGGGGGCAGAGGTATCCCAGGTGGCACTGGGCCAGCCCCAGCAGCCTGAGCTGCTGTACTAACAAGGACATTATCAAGCTTGGTAGGTGGTTGATCCTTCTGTTTGCTTGATGGAAGTCTTTCCTCAGCTAAGAAGGACTCAGTGTACCTAACCTCCTCCCACCGCTCTCAACCACGCACTTCCACACTTAGGGTCACGCTGCTAAGTGGGACCGCAAAGGTCACCCAGTCCAAAGCTGGGGTTTCACGAGGAGCATTTCTGGGGCCACTGGTCTCCTGTGTCAAAGCTCCTTTGCATTCTGACCGGGGTGGAGCCTCACCATCTCCCTGAACTCATTGTCTCCGCGCTCAGAGCGGGTCCGGACAAACGAGTGGGTGTTGTCCGTTCCATGGCTGGAAGGGGTGGGGTGAGCAGCGAAGCCCACTTCCAGCCCAGTTTCCCCTGCACGACATTCAGCACCTCTGGGAGTCTTGCAAAGCCCCGCCAGCACCCCCATTGGACCCTCACAGTCACTCTAACACAGGCAGGGAAGGTGTCGCGGTTCCCACGTTCAGAGGGAGAAGTGAAAACTCACGAAGTCCAGGGCGAGGCTGCCTGGAAGGGCAGCGAGGGCCTGTGTCCCCCCAACTCCTGACCAGCCCTCTTTCTCCGGCACAGTCCTTTCCTTGGGGTAGGGGGCAGTGGAGGACCTTCCCTCACCCCCAGGGGACCCAGCTGGCTGCCCCACACGTTTCAGGATGTGCTGACTTTCACTCTGCCGTGGCAGGCAATGCCACCTTCCCAGGGAGGAAACAGACGAGTGGAGAAACCACATCCTCATCATTTTTGCCTTTGGTACCTATTGGAATGTTCTGTCCTCTTCTTACTTGTATGAATTTTCTCTAACATGAGCACTTTTATACCAGGCTTCCCCGAAAATAAGACATCCTTTGAAAATAAGACCTACTTACAGGTTCCCTTTTGAGTGAAATATAAGGCATCCTCCCCAAAAATAAGGCCCCCCGAGGCTAAACATGAGAGATTTGGTCCACTGATTCTGAAAGAAATGGAGACACAAGAAATTCACCAGGAAATTCAGGAATTGGATTGTTATGATGATGTTCCAGAAGATGATGACATGATGGTCATTGAATAAATGAATAAGTTCTTGATACTGTAGATTCACAGTTTGGTTTGTGTTGACAACTACCATACTACCGTACCATATACAAGAAATAAATTTCCTTTATTTTCATTTAACAATAAATGTGTACCGTATTCTTCTTCATGGAAAAATAAGACATCTCCTGAAAATAAGACCTAGTGCATCTTTGGGAGCAAAAATTAATATAAGACACTGTCTTATTTTCGGGGAAACAGGGTAGTATGTGTGGGTGTGTATATGTTTTTATGTTTGTTTATTTTTAAAGGAATGATTTGACTTTAAGAATGACAAATGTCCAGCCTTGGCCAGTGTGGCTCAGTTGGTTCATAACCTGGTTTCGGGATAGGCTTGGGTTGCAGGTTTGAGCCCCTGTCAGGGTAAGTGCAGGAGGCAACCAATCTATGTTCTCTCACAGAAATATCTCAGTCTCTCTCTCTCTCTCTCTCTCTCTCTCTCTCTCTCTCTCCCCCTCTCTAAAATTATTTTTTTAAATTTTTTTTTAAAGAATGACAAATGTCCAAAGGAATCTGTCCTGGCCTCTGGTGCTGGGAGCAGAGTTTGGAGAGGGAGCAAGGAGTCTTGGTTGTCAAGAGCTTAAGGCACAGATAGCAAGACACTCAGGCCTGGGGCTTGATCTCTTTCAGACAGAGCAATCTGGTATGTGGCTTCATCCTCCCGCCCCTCCCCTCACACACACACAACTGCAAAAGCTCCAGGCAGTCATTCTCCAACATGCAAACCTTGTTCCAATGACAGAAACATTATCCTTACTGAATTCCTACAAAGCTTCCCATGCAGGTCTATGACATCACTAGGAAGCAGAGAAGGAAAAAAAGGACTAAATGCACTTTTATCACAACGTTGGACTTAATCCCAGAGACTAAAGAAGAAAAGAAAAGAAAGCCTTTAAAAGACCGAGGAACCATTTCAATGCCGGAAGAAAGTCAACACTGCGAACAAAACAGGTGTGGGCGACTCTGGAAAGTGAGGTGGCCACTCCTGAAAGCCCCGCTCCCTCGGAACCTCAGCTCCCCCCTACTCCACGGCGGTGCAGTGACCCTTCTCAGCATCTGGCATAGCCCTCCGGTACGCTCTCCAGAGGGCTATGCCAAGAGCCGGGCTGCCCTGTGAGTGAGTGAGCAAATGAATGAGTGGATCCCGTCTCTGTGGAGTGCACCACCTCCTGTGGCGATGTCTGAAAGCACAGCTCCAAGCAGGTGGCCTGAGGCTCCAATGCCATCATCTGGACACCGGAGAAAGCTGAAAACACTCAAGTTCTCACCGAAACCGGTTTGGCTCAATGGATAGAACGTTGGACTGAAGGGTCCCGGGTTCGATTCCGGTTAAGGGCATGTACCTTGGTTGCGGGCATATCCCCAGTAGGGGTTGTGCAAGAGGCAGCTGATCGATGACTCTCTCTCATCGATGTTTCTAACTCTGTTTCTCTCTCCCTTCCTCTCTGTACAAAATCAATAAAATATATTAAAAAACAAAAACAAAACAAAAACAAGAACACTCAAGTTCTCAGTCCAGGCGAGCCCCCACAGCCTGCTCTGTCTATCTCTGTCTCGGCCCTTCTCCGGTTCTGCCATCATAGGAATTACTTACATGTTTTGTCCTGCCGATCAGATAGGGCACTCCTGGGGGACCAGGCAGAGCACAGGTAAGTGGAAAGAGTCCTGGGAGAGCCCATAGGTTGATGGCTCTGAGTCTTTCAGATTTTAGGGTCCACTATGCTTTCAACAAATTTGAGGGGCCTACTTGGGATGGCTAGTGGATTATTTTACCAAATAAGACTATTAAAACCAAAACAAAGCACTCAACACCATCTACCACATATTTGATCATTGTTTCACAAAAGGGCATTTTAACACCAGAACAGAACACAACTCCCCCTACTGACAGCACACGTGCACTACACCGTCCTTGTTCCCATTTTCCAGTCACAGGCCCGGAGCTGTGGGACTGAGGGACAGGATAGCCCAGACCTGAGGGCTACACCTGTCAGTGGTATCCAAAATGTGATATTTTGTTCACAGATTCCCCAAATCAAAGTGAGGTAAAGTTTATGAAAGTACTAAGCTTATTTATAGGATCCCAAGTATGACCCTAAGGGCACTATAGGGCAGCTGGTGTTCCCGGGAGGGGATAGGGGCGGGGGGGGGGGAAGAGAGGAAGGGTCACAAGGGTTTGGGAAACACTGAGACTCTTTCAAATTTTACATATTATTCACGCATTTATTTGTGTAACTTGCATGTGCAGGTGATTCTCCGAGACCACGCTGCACTAGCCAGTGTTCCGTTGGGGAACCTGACCGTGGAACCCCTTCTCGGGACGCTGGCAGTGGGAACTCCTGGGCAGGAGCCAGCGGACTCATTCATTCATTCTTCAGCGGAGCGAATTGGCAAGCGGCAGCGCAAGCACCCAGGGCGCCGCAGGGTCACGGAGGAGGACGCCCAAGCACAGCGGGTACCTCAAGGTCGGAGTTGATGGAGGGGACCTCGGAGGAGCTGCTGGAAGACACGCGGGCCCGGATGACCCGGATGGGAGGGTACGAGGGCGGCTCCGGCAGGGGCATGTCTCCAAGGTTCATCTGTCCGTCGCCAGGCAGCCTGGTGGCGCTGCAGCCCGCCTGCAAGGTGTGTGGGGAAGGGCGGGCAGAGACACTTAGTTTACATTTTCATTGGCAAAGCACTCATGCGCTCTAGTATTCCAAAGGTAGGCAAGGGTGTAGGTGCAAGCCTATGGCCACCCTCAGGCCCCGGCTGCCCATTCTCCCCGGAGGCAGCCAGCACGCGGGTGCGTGCACCCTTCCGGAGAGCCTAACACACAACCAGGTGCACACCCGCATTCCTCCTCACTGCCGCAAACGCAGCACGCTCCACTCTCTCACTCTTCTTGTTTTTTTTCACTTGATGTCTCAGATAGAACTGTATCAGAGAAAAAATGTTGTATAGGTGTTCACAGTCTAGTTAACCAGTCTCCTACTGATGGGTGTTGAAGGTATTTAACCAGTCTCTTGCCTTTATAATCAACACTGACTGCAGTAAATTACATTGTACATTAAAAATTTCAGGCTAGGGCCGGGGCACGGGGGCAGACTGAGAAAGGACAATACAGGGAAAAGGGGGGCATATGCAATACTTTCAACAATAAAGAATTAAAAATATTTTTTCAGGCTATTTTTAAAGGATAAATTCCTAGAAGTGGAATTGCTGGCTCAGAGGGTATGAGCCTTTGTAATTTGGACATCTGTTGCCAAAAATGCACTCCATGGAGGCCTTACCGACTCACCCTCACCACCAGCAGAGAGATTTAAGGGAGATTCCCTACCTACCATATAGCTTTCTATCTATATTGTACCTATTATCTATGTCAATTCCTATCAATCTACCATCTATCTTTCTAATGTTTATCACTTTCTATTTTATTTTTTAAAAATATATTTTAATGATTTTTTACAGAGAGGGATAGAAAGTTAGAAACATCGATGAGAGAGAAACATTGATCAGTTGCCTCCTGCACACCCTCCACTGGGGATGTGCCCGCAACCAAGGTACATGCCCTTGACCGGAATCGAACCCCGGACCTTTCAGTCTGCAGGCCAACGCTCTATCCATTGGACCAAAATGGTTTCGGCATCACTTTCTATTTTCTACCTGTGTATCTATCATCTTTCTATTTGTATCCTACTAATCATCTATCATCCATCTTCCTATCTATATTCTACCAATCATTTGCCTATCTATATCTATCTATCTATCTATCTATCTATCTATCTACCTACCTACCAACCTACCTATCTATGTTTCAGAAAAGAACTTCTCCCCTCAGGGCTCACAGGGTGAGGGCAGGGGGTTGGGCTAAGAGAGGGCTTCCTCAGACGTGCCCGAAGCTCTGAGGGCTGGGGTTTCAGAGCTGGCAGTCATTCCACAGTGGGAACAATCGACCTCCTGGACCCATATCTTTCACCAACCATGTGACCTTGGGAAGAATTAGTCCTCCCTGAGCCTCAGTTTCCTAATCTATAAAAGGGAGTGGTAATGCCTGCCTTGCCTCCCTTGAAGTGGTGTCACAGGGCTCAGATGTCAATGTCATGGACACATAAGAGGAAGGTCTACTGGCCTGGACCCCAAATCACACAGAGCCCCAGCGTGATTGGAGCATGACTCCAGCATAAATGTGGTTTCATGTGAGAGTCACTGGACAGGCAGAGACAGCCCGTAAAGGAGGCAGAGTTAGTGTTCTGGGCGGCCCCTGGGTGGGGTGGGGGAAGTGAGGGAAACAGAAGCCTCCCAGGCACAACCGTAGATTCTGTAAAAACCTCCAGGCCTGCCGGACCGGTTTGGCTCAATGGATAGAGCGTCGGCTTGGAGACTAAAAGGTCCCGGGTTCGATTCCGGTCAAGGGCATGTACCTTGGTTGCGGGCATATCCCCAGTAGAGGGTGTGCAGGAGGCAGCTGATCGATGACTCTCTCTCATCGGTGTTTCTAACTATCTCTCTCCCTTCCTCTCTATACAAAATCAATAAAATATATTTAAAACAAAAAACAAAAAAACCTCCAGGCCTGATCACACCTGAGTCAACAGGTAAAATGCAGTTTCAAATATCCCAATCCTTTGATCCCCATGACCCATGGCCCTTGGCCCCTCAGCTCAGCCTGAACCGGGTGCATCTCTTGGAAAATCTCTCCTTTGGTCCAGTGCTCAAGAGGGACCTGGGAAGATGACTAAGCAACCAGTGGCTCTTGCTGTCCACTTCCAGATGGCTGGCCACACAGGACATATATCAGGACACATGGCCTCAGGGTACCTAGCTCCAACCTTGCCCACTGGGACCTTCTCATGAAAAATGAAAATTTGCTCACTCAGCTGGCATGATACGGCAGCACTGAGAATACATCCTCTTTATAAAAGCACAGGTCCCAGAAGCAGACAGGCTTAGTTTAAAACCTCTGTGATTATCTAACTATGGGATTTGGGCAAGTGATTTAAAACTCTCTGTGCCTCAATTTAAAATAATAAATGTATTAATTATTAAATAACAACAATAGAAATAATAGTATCTATCTCATAGGTTATTATGAAAATTTGTGTTAATGATAATTTTTTTAAAAACAATCACTTATCAAGTGGTTACTTGGTGTCAGCCATTATGTCAACGTATGTAGAGTCATCAAGGGCACAGACTCGGTAGGGACAAATTTGAATCTTGGTTTTACCGCTGACCAACGCGTGACCTTGAGCGAGTTCCTTAACCTCTGTGCACCCCATTTTCCTTATCTGTAAAATGAAAATAATACCTCAGGGGTTGGCTGTGAGGATGTATAGAGTTCATCTGTGTAAAGCACTTAGACCAGTACTCTACGATGACCAGTATAATAAGCATCATGGAGCCGTTGGCTGTCAGTATTTGCTCAGAGCCTGGGGAGTATTCAGCCCTCAGTAAACAGACCGTTTTGAGAATGGAGGCCCGAGAGCCCAGTGAGGGGACTTCCAGCCCGGATGGGCCTGGGGATTCCGGACTCCTTGTCAGGAGCTATCACAAAAGCATCTCTCGCCCTCTGGTGGACAAAGAAGGAAGAAGCCAAGTGCAAGTTGCTAAAAAATGTGCTTTGGGAAGAGAACCAAGGAGGAACACATTCTTCTTTCATGGAGTCTGTTCCCCAGCAGGAATCTACCCACAATTCAGGTCTTGGGAGCATTGAAATAAATGCACTTTTTGCCGAGACCGGTTTGGCTCAGTGGATAGAGCGTCGGTCTGCGGACTGAAAGGTCCCAGGTTCGATTTCGGTCAAGGGCATGTGCCTTGGTTGCGGGCACATCCCCATTGGGGGGTGTGCAGGGGGCAGCTGATCGATGATTTTCTTTCATCGATGTCTAACTCTCTATCCTTCTCTCTCCCTCTCTGTAAAAAAAAAAAAAAATCAATAAAATATATTTTAAAAAAATAAATAAATGCACTTTTGCACTGTTATTTTTCAGAAGTTCCATGATTTAAAAGTGTCTTGTGCAAAGCTTAGGCCACATGTCTAAGGTTCCCTGGGTTTTCCTCGGGCCTTCCACCCCCCACCCACCCTCCCACTGGAGGAAGGATTTCACAACCGAAGTGGGTGCTGAATTGGGAAAGCATGCTCCAACTACCCCTGCACTCCACTTACAGCAAACAGGTTATTTGCAAACACTTTCCAAGGAACAACAATGGGGAGTTAAACCTAGTCTCGGGCCCACACTCTCTGATTGTCAGTATGTCCAGCGGGGCAGCTACCTCTGAGCTCTGTGTCCCAAGTGCACCTTTCCAGAGAGCCTGTGACGGACACACCAGGGTCTAAGCAACCAAGACAGGAGACACAAAATTCGTATCCCTGAAGGAAACAGATAACACACAAAAATAAACGGTCCTGGGCAGTGTTTTGCGGAGCATTAAAAAAGGCAGTAGAGGGACATGACACAGTCAAAGGCTACTTTTGAGGGGCTATTTGGGGGAGACCTGTGGGGGAAATGACATTTTAACTGAAGATTAAAAAAAAACAAGAAAAGGCAGCCACGGGAACAACATAAAAACCAGAAGGAAGAGCATCCAGGCAGAGGAAAGAAGAGAAATCTGTGCCTCCATAGAAGAGTGAGGAGGAGAAGAGAATAGGAGGCAGTGGGGGGGGGGGGGGGGGAGAGGGGGGCGCTGGGCCGGCAGGTCTTGGAAGTTTGCATCAGAGGATTAGATTTCATTCTTTGTGAAAAGGGAATCAAGATGGGTATTTTAGACAAAGGAGGAAAAGATGTGATTTACATTTGTAAGGAACCCTTGCAGATGGAGAAGATTGGGGGGGAAACAGCTGTGGAGAGGAAACGGCCGTGGATCTATTTAAAAAGTAGTATTTATAGATTTGCAAATGGATTGGACAGGCATGGGCATGCAGTGAGGGGAGGAGGGGAATTTTCAGTTGGACCAAATGCACGGACCGTGGTGTCCTTTCCTGAGATCGGGAAGATGGGGAGAGGTCTGGGCACGGTAAGCATGAGATGCCATGTGGTGTTTCTGAATGGGTGGCTGGCAGCCAAAACCGGAGCGGAGGGAGAGAAAACGGAAGGAGACATGCATGGGGAAATTAGCAAGTGCCGGCGTGTGTGCGCTGTGGGCCTGGGAGAGAATGGAGAGAGAGGAGGGTCTGCAGCCTTAACGTGAAGCTCACCAGGAGGAGTAAGCAGAAGTGACAAGGAAGTACAGCTGTGACGGTGGCAGCAAAGCCAGGACAGTGAGGACCCCAAAGCTGCAAGGAGTTAGTGGGCCAATCTCAATTCTGACAGAAATGACCCCGGGGATTTAGCAACTTGGAGGTCATTGGTGACTTTGACAAAACCGTCTTTGTGGGGTAGTGGGACATGGAGTGGACTTGTCACCTCTCTCCCCCTCTTCTCTAACCCTCTTCCTCCTGAGGTCCCGTCCCATCCCCCCCCCCCCCCCCCCCCCCCCCCGCATCCAGGCCAGAACCCTGGGAGGTATCGGGAGCGCTCAGTCTCCCTCGCCCCATATCCTTACTCCTTCCAGCACTCTACCTGCCAACTCTCTACCTGCCAACTCTCTCCACTCCTTCTCTGCCTCTTCTGCTCCAGCCTTACTCCAGGCCGCACCACCCTTCCTGGACTTTCCTCTGTCCCTCACTGGCCACTTGATTCCAGCCTCCTCTCCCCCAGTCTGTCCTCCAAAATCGCCTGAGCGATGGCTCTAAGGTGCACATCTGACCCTAAGACTCTAGTCCTGAGGCCTCATAGACTCCCATCACCTCAGGATGATATTCAGCTTCTGCAGTATGATGGTGTCCCCACCCTGTCACCTCCTGAATTCCCCCAATTTCCCACACTAGGCCTTGGAGTGCTCCTTCCTCTCCACATCCCTCTCCCCCTTTTTCCCCTCTCTCTTTTATTCTTCCCTTCCTCTTTTTTATGCTCTCCTGCCGCATCCTGCCCATCCTGCAGCTAAAGCGGTACCTCTTGCAGAAAGCCTTCCACAACTACCTCCCGCCCTCTGGACACCTGGCCCATGGCTGCTCACCTGTTGCACTGGCTCGATGGTCAGCTCCATGTAGTGACTAATGGCTGTCATTGTCCTGAGTGGCTTGCAGGGCGGCAGTGTAGTGAGAGGCACCCAATCTGAATTCTTTCAAGTAAAGACAAGGAGACAGAAATGGGAATTCTTAAGTTGGGAGACATTTTCTAAAAACAAGGTCCCATTTTCTTAAAAAAACAAAACACCAAAAAGCCCCACCCCCTAAAGTGATTTTTGCCCCTGTTCTTTTATGGCACGTCTCACTTTTTGTTTCCTATAAAATGCATCTTATCTTTCTGAGTATGGCAGTAATTCCCAAAATTTGCTGCACAGTGGAATCACTTGGGCATTTAAAAAAAACCAACGGATGTTTAGCTCTCAACCCCTTCTCCCAGATATTCTGGTTTAATTGGTCTGGATGTGACTTGGGAAGTTTAAAAGCCTCACAGATGATTCTAAAACATGGCAAAGTCTGGGAACCACGGCAGTCGGTGCTAAACAAATGCTTTTGCAAAGCAGTGGTTCTCACACTTAGTGTGCACCAGAAGCACCAGTGGGCTGATCAAAACACTCTCAGCAATAACCCTAGCTGGTTTGGCTCAGTGGATAGAGTATAAGCCTACAGACTGAAGGGTCCTGGGTTCAATTCCAGTCAAGGGCACATGAGCGGGTTGTGGGCCCCATTCCCAGTGTGGGGCATGTAGGAGGTAGCCGATGTATGATTCTCTCTCATCATTGATGTTTCTATCTCTCTCTCCCTCTCTTCCTTTCTGAAATCAATAATAAATATCTTAAAACACACACACACAAAACACACTCTCAGTTTAGGATTGGGTAGAGCACGGTGGAAGCCTAGAATTTGCATTTCTAATAAGTTAGTTCCCAGGTAATGTTGGTCCAGGAACCACACTTTGAGAACCACTGTGGTTGAGGAATGCTTGAAAAGATTGCCAAGTATCTTCTTCCTCCCCTTACAACAATCAGTCACACAGGGCGCTCTTTACACATACCCTGTTTCCCTGAAAATAAGACAGTGTCTTATATTAATTTTTGCTCCCAAAGATGCGCTAGGTCTTATTTTCAGGGGATGTCTTATTTTTTCCATGAAGAAGAATACGGTACACATTTATTGTTAAATGAAAATAAAGGAAATTTATTACCTGTATATGGTATGGTAGTACGGTAGTTGTCAACACAAATCAGACAAACTGTGAATCTACAGTATCAAGAATTTACTCATTTAGTCAATGACAATCATGTCATCATCTTCTGGAACATCATCATAACAATCCAATTCCTAAATTTCCTGGTGAATTTCTTGTGTCTCCATTTCTTTCAGAATCAGTGGACCAAATCTCTCATGTTTAGCCTAGGGGGGTCTTATTTTCGGGGAGGATGCTTTATATTTCATTCAGAAGGAAACATCTATTAGGTCTAGTAATAATTAATGTCGTTTTCTAATACCTTTTTTAAAATCGAATTTATTTAAACAATACAACAAAATTTAATCAACAATATAGTTGCCGTTGTTTTCTACTACTTGTGCCCAACGCTCAGGAAGCATTTTAATCCCTCTGTTGTAAAATTCTTGTGATTTTGATGCAAAAAATTCGGTCAATGCATTTTTGAGGCATTCTTCATTATTAAATTTTTTTCCAAGAAGAAAGTTTTGCAAAGAACGAAACAAATGGTAATCGGAAGGGGCAATATCAGGAGAATATGCAGGTTGAGGGAGAACTTCCCATTGCAACTGGCGCAGTTTTTCAGCAGTGATTCTTGCAGTATGCGGTCGTGCGTTATCGTGGTGAAGAATTATGCCCTTCCGATTAATCAGCGCGGGTTCTTTTTCTCTTAAAGCTTGGGCTAACCTTTCCAATTGGGCACTATACACTGCACTTGTAATGGTTTGGTTAGATGGTAAAAGTTCATAATGAAGAATTCCTTTAAAATTCCACCCAACACACAACATCACTTTTTTCGCATGCAAGTCAGGTTTTGGCGTGGGCTGCGGAGCCCCATTTTTGTCCAACCATTGAGGCTGCCTTTTCAAATTAACATACAGCACCCATTTTTCATCTCCGGTAACAATTTGCTCTAAAAACGGCAAACGGTTTTGACGAGAGAGGAGCGAACTGCAAATTGTGACTTTGATTACGGTTGTTGTCGGTCAACTCATGAGGAACCCATTTCCCAAACTTTTGGACTTTGCCAAGTGCACGCAATTGATTGGAAATTGTTTTTTGTGAACAATTTAAAGTTGTCGCAAGCTCTTGTTGGGTAATTTGAGGATTTTGCACCAAAAGAGCTTGAAGAGCTTCTTGATCAAAATTGGACACATGGCCTCGACCACTCTTGTCATCTAACGAAAAATTTCCCTCGCGAAATTTCTCAAACCAACGCTGGCATTTTCTGGCGCTAACTGCATCTTGACCAAGAGCACTACAGTTGTTTTTTGCAGCCTCACTTGCTTTTCTTCCTAATTAGAATTCGTAAAGCATGCAGGGCTGAATATGCTCTTCATCTGCCATCTTCTTAGCCCTAGTTTTGCAACAAAAAACAAACCAAACACAAACTTTTTCAAGCAAAACTTGTTAATTGCACTTCACACGTTCTGTAGATACCACGTGTTTGAAGGTTATGTCAATACAAGTCACCGCCAAGCAAGATTTTAAACGCATGTTTAAAAACGACATTAATTATTACTCGACCCGAGTAAGGGTAGGTCCTAAAATAAGATAAGTAGGTCTTATTTTAGGATGATGTCTTATTTTGGGGGAAACACGGTAGTAGCTCTGTTTTGGGATAAATTTTGGGATAAAAATTTTTGGGATAAATGGTTGCTAGAGTGGAATGAAAATAACTTCCCATTAGAGCAGGGGTGGGAAACCCATTTTCTGCCAAGGGCCATTTGGATAGTTATAGCATCATTCGCAGGCCATACAAAATCACCAACTTAAAATGTAGCCTCCTATATTTGGTCAAACATTTAATCAACTCACCCCTAATGCCTTGGCAGAGACAGACCAAGTGATTTCACGGGCCTCACACGGGCCCGTGGGCCAGACGTTCCCCACCCCTGCCTTACAGCCTTTATGGGAACCCGGGACTTTGGTCCACACACCTATGTAAACCCCTTTCACCTTGGCCATACCCCTACCATCTTCTATTTCATTAACTCAGTCAGATGACTTATTGATTTATGTAGTATGTAAATATAAATATATATAAGTAAATGACTAAATAGCATAAGTGGACACTTGACTATTTTTCATCTACATTGCTAAGCATATATTGAAATTTATTAAGTGTTCAGAAAATTTTAAAAATATGTTGTAATCGGGAAAATGGAGAGTCCTATTTATTCAGGGCCCCTTAGCACTGGGTGTCAACAGTCTTTTTTGTTTGTTTGTTTTTGTTTTTTTAAAAAATATTTTATTGACTTTTTACAGAGAATAAGGGAGAGGGATAGAGAGCTAGAAACATCGATGAGAGAGAAACATTGACCAGCTGCCTCCTGCACATCCCACCTGGGATGTGCCCGCAACCAAGGGACTTGCCTTTGATCGGAATCGAACCTGGGACCTTTCAGTCCACAGACCGACATTATCCACTGAGCCAAATCGGTTTCAGCAACAGTCATTTTTTAAAGTGACCACGCGGCCAAGCTCAGAGGGATCCAGCATCCCAGCTCACCTCCATCCCCTCCACATGCAGACACTGGGGGGACCAGCGGTTTTCCAGCCCGTGATTCCTCGCCTCCTCGTTGTCTTCCTCCTTCTCTGCGCAGGTCAGAAGGGCTTGGGTGTCGGGGCTCTCTCTGGCTTCAGAGGCAAATCCCAAGGCCCGCCTCAACTTGCTTTTCATCACCCAGGAAAGGAAAATGATCTGGGAAGTGGATGGAGTTAAGGTCCAAGGAAGCGAAGAGCTGCAGCCACCCAATGCCGCCTTCACCTCTGCACCCTGGGCCCCAGCCTGTGCTCTCTGCCCCGGGCTGGGGAGCTCCTTGGAGCACAGGGCCAGGCCTGAGGGTCTCTACTTTTCTCCTTAAAGGGACAGTCTCCTAGTAAGGCCCTGCCTCTACCGAGCACGTGGGAAATACTTGTTAAAATACTTGAAAAGCATTGTCCTCGAAGCATTTGAGGCCATACTCACAGAAGAGTGACTACTCTCCGGCAAATTCACATCCCAGAAAGTGACCTCATTTGGAAATAGGATCTTGGCTGATGTAATTAGTTAAGATGGAGTCACAGTGATTAGGGTGGAGTCCCTGTGAGAGGAGAGGACACAGAGGCACACGAAAGGAGGCAGAGGTGACTTTTGCTGCCACAAGCCAAGGAGCACCAGGAGCCAGCCAGAGCCGGACGGGGAATGGCAGGTTCTCCCCAGCGCCTCCGGAGAGAGCACGGCCCTGCCTGGGTTTGGGACTTCCAGCCTCCAGAGCCGAGAGAATACATTTCTGTTGTTTGAGCTTCAGGTTTGTGGCAATGTGTGATGGCAGCCCTGGGGAAGTTTTTTAAATAGAATTTATTGGGGTGACATTGGCTAATAAAGTCATATAGGTCTCAGGGAATTCTATAATACATCATCTGTATATTGTACTGTGCTCACCACCCCATGTCAAGCCTCCTTACATCACCATTTATCCCCCTTTTACCCTCTTCTACCTCCCCTAGCAAATTAACACAGTATACGAGAAAGTCAGTTTCTGAACTATTCATACTAACTCCACAGGTTCTCTCTCTCCCTCACTTTCTCTCTCTCTCTCTCTCTCTCTCTCTCTCTCTCTCTCTCTCTCTCTCACACACACACACACACACACACACACACAAACACACACACACAGTATACACTTGATATCAACCACCACCGTCTGCATTTAGCTTGCCCTTGAGGTGCTCATGCCAAGGTCAATGGTGTGTCAGCACATCAGGCAACACCCCTGGGGAACCAGGTAGGTGCTCACAATCTTGACAAAGGGCAGCCCCTTGTCAGCTTTTATCTCTGCTGCCCCAACCTAAGAGCACACAGGGCAGGATCACCACTGCACGGCCGGTCAGCCTGCACGGCCATCCCCCGCTCGGGGGGGAGGAAGGAAGACAAAGACAGGGTGACAGGTTCACTGAGGCAGGGACGGACCTAGGTTGGGAGCAGACCTGAGACTGCAACCTGCTCTTCTGATCCCAGGGCCAGGAACGGGTACAGCCTCCGCTGCTGTTTAACAGAGCTCCAGCAAGAGATAATTATTCTTATTTAAAAAAAAAAAAAAAGGAAACGCAAAATTGCACGTTGTCACTGTCTGCCTGCCCCAGGCTTCAAACCACCTCCCTGGCCACGGGGAGGCAGTTCCAATCTAGAGGGAAGGAGGGCGTGGCAGCGGCAGGGAGGAGAGACAGGAAGATGCCTCTGGGCCCCTGGGGGGTAGATACAGCGAGGTCCAGCGCCGCGCGGCCCAGGGAGGTCAGGAACCAGGGTGTGGCCCGCAGCAGGTACTCGGGCCTCCGGTCATGGGCCACAATGGCTGAGGCGTAGAGGAGGCCAGCCAGGGCCGACAGGAGCCGGGTCCACAGGTGGATGCAGGGAAGCGTCTTACCCCGGCACTAGGCAGAGAGAGGAGAGAGCTGGGCAGGAAGGAATACTGCCACTGCCCTGGCTGCCTCAGAGCTAAGACCGATGCCCTGGTGGCATAGCAGGTTGGAGGGCAAACCCTCTGCCCATGACAAGTCCCCCAGGGGGCACTGATCTTCCTGCCAAGGGGCCATCAGGTTTGAATGCCTTTAGAGATGGGAAGCCCACTACCTCCTAAGGTTGAAATCCTATATAATAAAGAAGTGATATGCAAATTGACCCTCATGCCCTCACAAGGTGGCTGCCTACGACCAGGCCAGCAAGGGGGTTAGTGAGGGACGACCAAATGACGGAACAAGCAGGCTGCGTGGGGTGACCAGGCTGGCAGGGGGGACAGTTGGAGGCAACCAGGCTGGTCGAGGGGGGCAGTTGGGGGTGATCAGGTCAGCAGGGGGGGCAGTGAGGGATGAGTAGGCCAGCAGAAGGGGGAAGTTGATGTGACTAGGCCGGCAGTGCTAGAAACTAATAACTGATTTTAGAAGAAACCTCACTAGTTTCTTCTAAGATCCTCAGGTGACATAGTTTCCCGGCCCCCATGCCACCTGGAGACCCATCCCAGGGGTCCCTGAAGGGAGATTAGTGCTTCCTATTCCCCTCCTTTGATCTGGAGATAGACCCTTTGCTGATGAGACCCCATGTCTGGTGAGGTTTCTGGCCACCACAGCATAAGCGATAGCTTCCCACAAAGGATCAACGGAGCACCTGCCATCCGGGATCCTGTCTTCCTGGAACTGCTATTAGATGATGCTCTTGGACAAGTGACTCTCTTTTAGACACAACGATAGGCCTGTCATGGCTCCGGTGTTCGGCCCTGCCATTATTCCCTCAGCAAGGCCCGCGGGAAGGGCGGTTTGCACACGTCCACAGCATCTCGCTCTTTCTTGCCTTGGTGGCCTTTCCCCCATGCGCGCTCCTCCTCCCCTCGCCTCTGCCTCCTTAATCCCACACCCCTTCGGAGAAACCTGAGGCCTCCCCAGCAGCCACAGGCCTGGCTGTGTGGAGTTTCCAGCCTCACTCATCTGGATAGCACTGGAGCCTTCTCTCTCTCCTCCGAGTCCCCAAACACATGATGCTGTATTTCTTAGAGCATTAAATGACCCGGCTTTGCGTTTCTGCGTCTCCCATGAGACGGTGAGCTTCCTGGGGGCAAGCAGTGACTCAAGTCACATCTCTATCCCCTGGGACTGGCCAACACAGGTCTCCTCTCACCCCAGACGCCTGGAAGATACTTGCCAGTAAGATGCTCTCGAATACACAGAACCCCAGTGGCTACACGATTCTATCCTCTAAAACCTTTTCACTCCCTATCGCAATGCTTGTTGGTCCAACCCTGATGGCTTCTCCCTGAGAGCCTGCTTCCCATCTGCTGTAAGAAATGGAGAGAACGCAGTGGGCTTTCCAGTGAGAGGCCTCAGGACTTCTCTGGGGCTGGCCGCCCACCCTCCCACCCGCAGCTCCACACACACATGGGGTGGCACCGTCCCTCTGCCCGGGGACCCGGAGCTTTGACAGTGCTCCCCGATGCCCTAAAACCTGTCACATGGCCCCAACCCAGCCCCAACCCCAGCCTCACGATTCTGGCGAGTGGGGGCATCCGGGAGGCCCAGGAGCCGCAGGCAGCGATGCCACCCAGCAGGTAGCCAAACATTTCAGTGTTGTCCTGTGGGAACAGGTGATAGTCAGCACCCCGAGGAGACCGCCGTGCACCCCAGTCCCAATGAAGTAGGTTCCTCCCAATGAAGGCTAACCCTGCCCACCACCACCCCCAGGCATTTCTGAAGGGACCATCACTGCCCCATGTGCCCCCAGCTGGCTCAGCCTCACCTGCAGCAGGCTTCCCAGCAGCCTCCGCTGTGGCCCTCGGACAAGGCCTGAAGCCTTCGGGACAAAAGCCCAGAGAGCCCAGCAGGGGCCCAGGCTCAGGGGCAGAGTCAAGGCAAATACGCTGGCCCTGAGCCGCTGCCTCCCCTTCCTCTCCTGGGAGCCGTGACCTGCAACAGACACCAAAATCCCACATGGTTCCTGGGAACCTGAGCGTCTGGGAAGAACTGGTGTTGACCCAGCCCTGACGCCAGGGCAGGTTCCTATTCCCATGGAACCTGGCTAGATCCTCTCAACCCTTCAAGGCCCTATGGTTGTGCCCCCTCTATGAAGAAAGAAGTCTTTCCTCCCCACCACCCATCCCCCTACACACAGACACACACAGACACACACAGACACACACAGACACACACACACACACACAGACACACACACACACAGACACACACACACACACACACACACACACACACATGGCTGGTACTCTCTCCTTCCTCAGCCCTCTTATAACTTTTCTGTTCAAGGCAGGTGACATTTCCTGTATCATATATATGTATCTGAGTGCACAGGGTTGCACACACACACACACACACACAGACACACACACACACAGACACACACACACACAGACACACACACACACAGACACACACACACACAGACACACACACACACAGACACACACACACACATGGCTGGTACTCTCTCCTTCCTCATCCCTCTTATAACTTTTCTGTTCAAGGCAGGTGACATTTCCTGTATCATATATATGTATCTGAGTGCACAGGGTTGCCTCTCCAAGACTGGAACTCCCTAAGGGCAGGCACTGTGCCCTGGCAGTTTCTACAATCTCCGGAGAGCCTGGCACAGAGCAGAACTGGCACAAGCCTGGTGAATGCATCAAGTGAACGCCTGGTGCCAGGACACCGAAACTGAGTGGGACAAGGAGCATCTTCTTTGGAAATCTCCCTTTAACACAAGACAGATGCTCCTCTGAACCATCCTAGTAAGAACGTTTCTCCTCTGGGCAGCACTGGCAGCACAGTGCAGCTGAGGGCATCTTTTTAAAAATATATATATATTTTTATTGACTTCAGAGAAGGACGGAGAGGGACACAGAGAGAGATAGAAACATCAATGATGAGAGAGAATCACTGATTGGCTGCCTCCTGCACTCCCCACACTGAGGATGGAGCCCGAAACCCAGGTGTGTGCCCTGACCAGGAATGGAACTGTGACCTCCTGGTTCATAGGTCAATGCTCAACCACTGGGCCACGCTGACTGGGCTGAGGGCATCTTCTATGACTCCATGCAAGCATTCTCTTCTCTGGAATGCCCCAGTCCTACACACTCGTCTACTCATCCCATCTCAGTCACTTACAGCCGCTGCTCTGCCTGAGGCGGCGCATGCCCGTGCCTGCATCCATTTCTGGAAGCTGTGGGGCCTCACTGGCATCCCGGACTTGCACAGAGATCCTTGTTCATCCCCAAAGCCATGCACCATCCTCTTCCTGGCCTTTGCCCACTGTTCTCTTAACCAGGAATGCCTTCCCTGCAGTCCCTGTGCCAACGTCACTCCTCCTCTGACACCTGCAGCCCCTTCTCCCCCTCTGGTGCCCTCGCTGTGCACGCGCCTCCCCACGGCAGCTCTAAAAATGCTTAGGGCCCTGCCTCCCTCCTCTGGCTGGTTCATTTGTCTGTGCCTGGCAGGGGTCCAGGGTGATGATGAATGAGAGCATGAATGAAGGCAGGAACAGATGGCCACACACTCACCCGAATTAGACTTCAACTTGGAGCCGCAGACTGGGAAGAGAATGAACACAAAGTTCACCAGGTCAACAGCTGCCAGGTAGGCACCAGTGAAAACCTGGGAGCAGATGGAGACGGTCTTGGTGTTCAGACAGCACTTCTCATCCCGGATCTCCCAGCACACCCGTGAGCTCCACTGAGGGGTGCTTCCCGGGACGCCTCCCTACCCCAGGAAAGGCAGAGATCACCTCCCTCTGAGTGATGAGGAGGTGGGGTGGGTGCTTAAATGATGGGCCAGGAACCCAAACCCAGCTCTCTGCTTCCTAGTCCACTCTCTCCACTGCACGGTGTAATCTCTGCAGGATAACTTTGGCCCAGCCACTGACCTCTGGGCCTCAGTTTCCTCAGCTCTAAAACAGAGTTAGTATTGGTGCCTTCCTCACAATTTAAGCAGATTACATGAATCCATACATGGAAAGTGCTTAGGCGAACACCCAGAGGAAAGTAAAATGCACTCACCTGTAAATGTACTAGCTACCGGGACAGGATGGTTAGTGCTAAGAGCATGCATTTCTGGATTTGAATCCTGGCACTGCTACCGTTTCCCCGAAAACAAGACAGTGTCTTATATTAATTTTTTCTCCCAAAGTTGCAGTAGGTCTTATTTTCAGGGGATGTCTTATTTTCAGGGAAACACGGTACTTACTAGAGGGTGACCTTAGAGAAGTTATTTAACCTCTCTAGGCCGCAGTTTCCACGTGTGTAAAACAAGATAAGAGCACTCGTGTTGTAGGATGATTTGGGAATCAAATGAGTTAATACATGAAAAGCCCTTAGTGCTAAGTACCCTGTTAAGTGTTTAATAAACTATTATTATTGGATTTGAGCTAGACCTCATTATTTTGCATCTCCTAATGAGAATAGGCACCCAGAATAAAAAGCGATCTGTTTCTGAGACAGCACTGCTCAAAGCAGGGTCTAGAACTCTCCCGATCTCCCCGGGCTGTCCTCCTTCAGCCCAGCTGGATGGGCACAAGGCCTGGAGCAGCCCTAAGAGGTGGCCAGCAGCGGGGCCCGCAGGTTTTCCCTGTGATACATGTTTTGGAATAGGCTCCTCCTCTACAGGTTTGTTTGAGTGCCTAGAATTTTCAGAAACTTATAACTGCTTCTCACTTTCCCCAAAGCCCTCACCTCACAACCACCTGGGAAGGGATTCAGACCACCCCTTGCATGAGCTAGGGCTGGGTCCTGGGCTCTAAAAACAATAGTACCGCCCTCGCCAGTTTGGCTCGGTGGATAGAGTGTCCGCCTGTGGACTGAAGGGTCCCGGGTTCAATTCCAGTCAAGGGTACATGCCCAGGATGCATGCTCGATCCCCAGATAGGGGGCGTGCAGGAGGTAGCCAACCAATGACTCTCTCTCATCATTGATGTTACTTTCCCTCCCTCTCCCTTCCTCTCTGAAATCAATAAAATATGTATCTGTAAAAAATAAGATAAAAATGAAAACAATAGTACCAACAATCACTATTTATTGAGCATCTACTATGTGCCAGCTGCTGTTCTGGGTGATGGTTTTACAGTAGTGTATACAAATTCTCGCCCCTGTGGAGCTAACATTCCAGTAGGCGTTAAATAAAATAAGCAATAAACATACTAAGTAAAGTAGGTGGTGTATTGGGGGGAAGCCATGAAAAAAATAGAGCAGGCTGAGGGGGTCTGTGGCAGAGGTACCCGGGTGGTCAGGGGAGGCCTCGTTGGGAAGGTGGCTTCTGAGCAAAGACGCAAAGGAGGTGAGCAGTGAGCCATGCGGCTGTCCAGACAGAAGCACTGGAGGGGAGCAGAATGACCAGCAAGAGCACGGGCCCTGAGGCAAACTGCACCTTACATGGTGAGGGAATGAGGCAGAAGCCACGGTCCCCTCCGGGCCTGACGCACCTGGATCGCGAGCTGTCTGGCCAGAATCGCCCCGACCGTGTCGCACAGGCTGGCCAGGAGGCAGCACGCGGCACATAGCGCGGACTGGTCCTGTCTGCACTTCTTGGCACATCTCAGATAGAGGAGCCTGCGGAGACAGACGGGGGTGGACAGGACGTGGAAGCCGTGCGTTTGGCCTCCCAAAGCAGGTGTCTGGAAAAGACAGCTGTGACTCGTGTGTCCATTTAAAGCACCTTCTCCCCCAGGAATTCAGCGGGTGCTTTTGAACTCAGTTTACAGATCAGAAAAGAAAGGCTCAGAGGACTCCCTGCGTGGGGTGAGAGCCGGACCTGCCTCTCGAATGAAGAGGAATGCCTTCCCTCCTACAGATCTGGCCAGCTCGGGTTCACGAGCAGCTTTCAGTGCTGACAAACTAGCTGGGGGTGGTGGTAATGTTATGAAAGGAAACAGGAGGGTGATAAGCCCAATCACTGTAGCTTACTGCAGAGCAGAATTCATTGCCTAAATTTAGAAAGGCAGCTTGTTTCTTTGACATGAAAGCGAAATCCTTCTCATCTATCCTTCTGCCGGCCCCAGAGCCAAGCTGACTTCGTTTTGGGTGCGTGTTCCTTACACAGGAGGAGAGCAGAACTCCGGAAGATGGAACTTGGGTAAGGTGACCAGATTCTTTCCAAAAATTGGGACTCCTTTAAAAACGCCCCGGGACACGGGGCAAAGTTGTTAAAAATCAGGACTGTCCCACCAAAAGCGGGACGTCTGGTCACCTTAAACTTGGGGCTAACCTCTCCCCGAGGCCCCTCTGCGACGTGCTGGGTTATCTCCCTTTCTGCCTCCACCTGCCGCTCGCTCCCGAGCTCAGAAAGGCAGGACGTGCTGGACGGGGCTAGGGGTCCTGTCAGCGTCACCGGCTGGATCTCAGAAGCAGTGTGTGCTCGGTGGTTCCCCGCCGCTTTCCTATCGGGGAAACCGAAGCACCACCACGGCAGCTCTGGCTTCATTGCCTCGTCCTTCGGGCTCACAGGGTGGCACTTCCGGGGGACCGTTGGACCGGACGAGGGAGGAAGGCTATTCGGGGAGGCCTGAAGCCCAGAGAAGGAAGAGCAACCTTTAACTCGGGCCCGGGCTCCTGAAACTGACGCCAGTTTTAGGAGTGAAGATGCTAAACGAGAAACTGCGTTAGACCAAGATTAGAAATGGTTTATCTCAGCCCTCCCCTTTGAAAGTGGAGAAAACGGAGGCTTATGGTAAAAGGGGCGTCAGCAGGGGGAAGGGGGGGCACAGCTGGCCTCTAGCCTCAGGAGGCTGCGCTCTGAACCTGCTGCTGCCCGGCCCTCTCCTGGCTCCCAGGGGGTGCCAGGCTGCTAACAGATCGAAAGAGGTACAGTCTCTAAAGACAAAAGAAGGTGAAGGGACGGTGAAGCCCTAAAAACAAACAGCGCGCCCAGACCTAAGCAGGGTGAGAAAGCAGAAGCTGCCTGGCTGGACTTCTCTCCAAACCTCGGTGCCCACGTCCGTGAAATGCCTACCACGCGGACCTCCGAGGGTGGCTGAGAGGAACCAGTGAGGCAGCGCACGCCAGCACCTCCTAAGTCCCATGCTCTGGTCTGGCTCGCTTACTCCTCTCAAGCCTGCCCCTGGGTAGCAGGGTTGGGGGTTTTACTTTTTCCACCCATCCCTCCTTCCACAAGTTGGTTAACCTCTCAGAACCTCAGGCTTCCTGATCTAAATGGGTCATTGCAGTCCCTGCCTCCTGGGAAGGTGGCAGGATTCAACGAGTTAATGAATGCAACACTAGGCCCGCAGTGAATGTTCTGGTGTCTTTTTATTCCTAATCCAGTGACTGGGCAGTGAGGCTGAGAATCTGTAACTCCCAAACGCCCAGGGGGGCGTCCATAGTGCCTACGGTGAGCCGGTGGCAGTCCCGTCTCCTCCGCCAGGGAATGGGTGGATGACACCAGCCCTCCGAGCTTGGGACAGGGTAGCTGAAGACCTGGAGGCTGTCTCTCACCAGACTTGCCCAGGTTACGGTGGCCCCTGGGCAAACCACTCCGGGTATTGGACAGACCAGGGCAAACTCCGTGGCCAGAGTCAGATCACCCCTTCCCCATTTCCCAGCTGAGTGGGAAAAACTGAGGCCAGAAACATCAGCCTTGTCCAAGGTCCTTGTCCAAGGGTTGGCGGCAGAACTGGAGCAATAGTAACATTTAATGAGCACTTACTTACTAAGTAAGCACTTTGCCGGTGCTAACTCATTAAACCCTCCCTTCAGTCAGCCCTAGGAGTTATCCCCCCCTTTTAGGTGAGGAAAATGCCCAGAGGTTTTAGAGCTAGCCCAGCTCACACCCCAATAGGGAAAAAGGCTGACAACAGAACAGTCCACGGCCCTGCCCACTGCACCACCCAGCCTCTCCTCCTGCTGGCCCACAGCCCAGCCAAGCCGGAAAAAAAAAAAAAAAAACAAAACTATCCGACTTCAGGCTACGGAAATGTTAGTTTCGATCCTGGAACTGGGGGCTACCTCCTGCATCCTCCCTTTCCGCCCCCTTCCCTCTAGGTTTGCAAAAGGGAGTGAGTAAGGGGGTGGGCAGGTAGCACCCCATTTCCCTCTCCCTGCCTCCCCGCAGGCCAGCCGCCCCCACCCCGGCGCCGCCGTCCCGGTCCCCATTACAGTGTGTGGGCGGCGATCCAGCAGGAGGAGGCGCAGAGCCAGAGGCTGAAGGAGATGCAGACGCGGTGGCGGGCGAAGCAGCGGTCCAAGTAGCCCCAGTCCCAGAGGGCGGGCGCGGCGCTGGCCGCCTCCCCCATGGCAGGCGCGGCCCCCGCCGGTGCCGGAGCCTCCCGCGCGGCGGGACCCGCGCGCAGCCTCCGGGCCGTGGGTGGCCGGGCGCTGCCGCCCCTTCCCCGGGGGAGGTCCCCCCGCGGCAGCCCTCCGAGCGCCCGGTCCGCGGGCGGGATGGGCGCGCCCAGCTCTGCGCTCCCTCCCGGGCGGGCGCCGGCGGCCGGACTCCGGGTTAAAGTTTCCGGACCGCGCGGCTCCCCACCCCGCGCGCTATTGTCGGGGGTCCTCGGGCGGGAGGCCGCCCCCCAGCGGCGGGAGCCGGGAGTAGCCTCCGCACAAAGGCTGCGGCCGCCGCGCCCTGACAGCCATCCGCAGAGCTGCGACCCCCTCGCCGTCACCCGCCCCGCAAACTGAAGGAATGCAGTGACCTGCGGGGCCACGGCAGGGCACGTTGTCCATTCGTCAATCCACCCCATTTCCCGGACTAAACAATACATGCCTTCGCGCTGGCGAAGGTCTAGGGTGCCGTGGGCCTGGGCCTGCTGGTGAAAAGGGTACAATGCAAAGGTGTGATGAGAGCCAGGAAGGAGGAGACAAGCGCCTGGTGGGCAAATCCCCTTTATTTTCTTTCTCTCACGGGGTATTCGTGCCTATAAAGGGAGGATGAGAGTCCCCACCTCAGAGTTACTGTGATTATTACTAGTTGAAACCCCGCAGATAGAGCACCTGGCACATCAGCAGGGGAAATTATCATTGTTATTGTCTTTCCTAGGAAGAGCCTTAGATCCACTGACAAAGAAGGAGGAGGAGGAAGAAGAGGAAGAAGAGGAGGAGGAGGAAGAAGAGGAAGAAGAGGAAGAGGAGGAGGAGGAGGAGGAGGAGGAGGAGGAGGAGGAGGAGGAGGAGGAGGAGGAGGAGGAGGAGGTTGGAAGAAATGTGAAGCGTAGCGGAAACCAGTTTGGCTCAGTGGTAGAGCGTCGGTCTGTGGACTGAAAGGTCCCAGGTTCGATTCCGGTCAGGGGCATGTACCTTGGTTGCAGGCACATCCTCGGGTGGGTCCCCCGCCATGCGGGGTGTGCAAGAGGCAGCTGGTTGATGTTTCTTTCTCATCGACGTTTCTAACTCTCTCTCCCTCTCCCTTCCTCATAAAATATAAAAAAAGAAAAAAAGAAAAGAAAAAGAAATGTGAAGCGTAAGGTCAGTTAATGATGGGAGATACAACGCTCAGTTCTGGTTCACTCCTCTATCAGCTGCCAGAAGCATCTGGTCTCCTGGCTTTAAATACTGTCCCTGTCCCTATCCCTGTCCCCAAATGAGTATCTCCAGGTCAGAACCCCCAGACTTGAGACTCACACATGCAGCTGCCTGCTTGGCATTTCCTCTTCCATGTCTGATTGAACACATCTAAAAGCAAACTTGAAATTTTTCTGTCCCAAAGCTACTCCCTCTGCAGCCTTCCCTCCCCGGGCTGGCTGGGCGTCCTGGTCCTGTGGGCACGAGGCCCTGTGCCCACACTCCTCTATTAGGGCCCTCTCCAGCCTGATGAGCGCTGTCTTCCCACCAGGCTGTGAGCTCTTGCAGCCAGTTGTTTCATTTATACCTGTCCCCCCAGCTCCTAGCTCACTGCCTGGCACAAAATAAGATGCTGTTTACTAAGTTGATTCTTAAACAGTCCATGCACATCTGTTAGGTACTATAGAAAGAGCATGTTTACACAGCTTTGGTGACGCCTAGCATTGTGTCTGTGGGAAGGCTTTCGAGAAATACATGAGCTGGGCCTTGGAGAATGTTTGCTTTTGGCAATGAGGCCATGGCACCAATCCCACAAAGGCCCTCCTGGAGGCGGGAAGAGCATGGCTGTGGGCACCAGCGAACTGCAGAGGTACTGCAGCAAGGGTAGGAGACGAGGAGAGAGAGGCAGGCTGCAGCCCTGGCACAAGGACCCGAGGACTTCACCCTGCAGGGAACACTCAGTGCTAGATATTCTAACCAACTCCCGCCCTGCCATTCGGACCCTCTCAGACTCCCCCAGCACCGTCCAGAGGGCTCCTCACAGGGCCGGTCCTCAGGAAGTGAGTCAGTTCCTTTACCAGGCAGCGGCCCCGCACAGCCCAGACGCTAATGTTTTTCTGGCCGAGGTCCTGAGTTTCCCCGAAAAGAAAAACTAATAAGCAGATTATAACACATGTCCTCCCTCCAAATAGGCATTTCCTGTTGGCGTAAGCGCTACACCCACAGGCATTGTCCTGAAGAAAGGCAGGCTGCACAGCCTGAGCCGTCCATCCTGCAAGGAGCGGGCAGCCAGTCGTGGCCATGGATCCCAGCCACCTGGGGGGACAGAGGCCGGAGTTCAACAGCTTTCTCCTCCGAGGACACACTGCCTCCTGCCAAGGTTCTTAAAAAATGCATTATTCAATATCATTCAGTGTTTCCCAAACTTTTGACATATGTGTACCCCTTCTATAATTTTCGTAACGCTGAGTACCCTTCGTACTCATGAGAAAGTAGAATTAGGCGCAGCTAAGCACAGTGCAGTGCATATCCCCACCAAACTCCGGTGCAAACGCATACCCCCACCAAACTCTTCCCGTACCCCTGGGGGTACTCGTACTACACTTTGGGAAGCACTGATAGAGGAAGGGCTCATAGCTACTCCTCAGTGACATTAAAAACCTCCCGTCAGTTTGATTTACCTGCTATAAATGTAGAGAAATCAATGACAATAGAAAGCATTTTGAAATAATGGCATTTACAAATCTTAATCAATCCAATTGTGGACATGCCAGAGTGTCATGATTAAAGCAGGTCCCGGATTCTAAAACTCTGTCATCAACACACAGCATGACCTTGTAAAGGCTTCTTCTTCCCCTACCCCCAAGCTCCTCATTAATAACATCTGGTTGCTGAAAGTCACTTATTTCACAATGCTCAGAGCCAGGCAAGGGCTAATGGAACTAACAGATGTTACATCAAGAAAAGCCCTACATTTTAACCCTTTTTATTTTTTAAAATATATTTTTTATTGATTTCAGGGAGGAAGGATAGGGAGAGATAGAAACACCGATGATGAGAATCATCGATCAGCTGCCTCCTGCACGCCCCATACTGGGGATTGAGCCTGCAACCCATGCATGTGCCCAGGAATTGAACTGTGACCTTCTGGTTCAAAGGTTGATGCTTAACCACTGAGCTATGCTAGCCGGGCAAAAGCCCTACATTTTAGAAGAGGTAAATCTCAATGAATGCCGTCTAATTGCAAGGCAACTCACCTTATAGAGTCAACTAAATAGAATAATGCAAGTTCTCACTGCCGCTTCCAATGTAGAAAGAAACCAGCATCCCACCAAGTTCCCACATGCCAGCATGGGAGCTGGGCAACCCCACCTCCCAGCCAGCTGAGGCAGAGTGAAGCGAAGTCACATGTTTGCTCACTGTGGTCACCATTTGATTCCAGTACAATTCTGTTCTGAATGGCACTGAGCCCTTGTGGTATTTCTCTCTCTTCACTTATGACAGACTCCCAAATTTTTTATTTTGAGAAATTTCAAAACCACAGGAAAGGTGAAATTGGAATTCACCATTTGAGCATAACTGACAACAAATGGTGGAAATAATTATTTTTTTCTTCTTAAACTTATTTTTTAAAAATATATTTATATTGATTTCAGAGAGGAAGAAAGACATAGAAACATCAATGATGAAAGAGAATCATTGATCAGCTGCCTCCTGCATGATCAGGGATCAAGCCTGCAACCTGGGCATATGCCCTGACCAGGAATTGAACCGTGACCTCTTGGTTCATAGGTTGACGCTCAACCACTGAGCCACAGTGGCTGGGCAATGGTGGAAATTATTTTATTTTTTTAAAAAATATATTTTATTGATTTTTTACAGAGAGGAAGGGAGAGAGAGAGAGAGCCAGAAACGTCGACGAGAGAAACATCGACCAGCTGCCTCCTGCACACCTCCTATTGGGAATGTGCCCGCAACCAAGGTACATGCCCTTGACCGGAATCGAACCCAGGACCCTTCAGTCGGAAGACCGACGCTCTACCACTGAGCCAAACCGGTTTCGGCACAATGGTGGAAATTATTAAGGGTGGAATGTTTTTGTTTTGTTTTTTTTATTAATGGTGGGAGTTTTGAATAATTTCCTTACTTCTCCATAAAGACTGAAGAGGGGGAAGGGCTATGAAAACAAGGTGGCACAAAGTAGGTTTCTGGCTTGCTGCCAAATTTTCCACTTTCCCCACCAAGAAAACATGCTGCTATTGGCTTGACAAATACCTCAACTTCCTTCTAATTTCCTGAAATGTAAGCAGATGACAGATGTACAGCAGGATATTCTTCAAATGGGTGGTAGGTACTTTCCTTGTAATAAAATGCTGGTGAAAAATACCAAAACAACAGAGTTGGGAAATTTCTGTTTTCACCTTTGCTTCTGCTCAGATTATGTCTTATTAAAAATCTCTTGCAATGTTTTTTAAGCATTCCCACTCTTGTTGTAGACCTTAGTACTTTTAGACTTACAAAATGCAATCATTATCACTATTGTTTTGGTATTTTTCACCAGCGTTTAGCTGTCAGTTTGCACAGAACTGTCCACAGGGTTGCAGGTGAACTGGAAGTAGGCTAAGGGATATGGCGTTGGGTGGGACTACACAGACATCTTACCAATGATAGTTGTTGGAAAGATACTCTTCACAACTGTTCCACATTTATGAATGTTAAATATCAAAGGCAGGCATGGAGAAATAAGCCCTCACATTAACATTCGATTTTCACCCAAGGACATGCTTAAACAGGAAGGTAGAGGGAGAGAGCGAGAGGGAGAGGAAAAAGAAGAGGGAGAAGGAGAGGGGGGAGGGGAAGGAAGAAAAAGAGGGGGAGGGAGAGGGAGAGGGAGAGGAGAAGGGAGGCGAGGGAAAGAAAGTAACTGGATCAGCTGCCCTCCATACCTGCTCAAACCTGGCACTGAAACTGCAACCCAGTTGTGTCCCTCATATGGGGAACTGAACTGAACCAA